GCAATATAAAAAGAAAGTATAGGACAAAATTGAAGTTTTAAGCAAATTGTGGAAGGTGTGTGGAAAATTAATCTCATAAAAGAAATTTTTTGTGTAATCAAGTTGGTTAAAATTAGAAGAGAATCATTTGTAAGGCTGCCCAAAAATTGAGCATTAATATCAAAAGCACACAGGGACAAGGCAAGAATCTGGGTCTGTGACAGACCACAGGACTTCCTCAAAGTGTTGCTATATTCTTTAACATAAAATTGTAAGAGGTTATAAAAGATTTGTGGAAATTTTATCATGTGTGGTCAAAGCTGACTGAAATTGTGTGGATTTGTTTATAAGGTTTTATGAAAATTACCTTTAGTACTGATAGCATGGTAATATCACACAAAAGTAAAATATGACTTTCTTCTTTAATCAGGATTTCATGTAGAACTAATAAGAGATAGTAAAATATTTGTTTACCTTATAAGTAAACTGCAAAAAAAAAAAAAGGGTGTGGGGAGAAGGAGAGATTTGCCTCATGCTTTTCTGTATTAGGTCTCCTGAATGGAAACCGAGGGTCATCTTTATCAAAGAATACAAGTGTTTACTTTTTAAAATCTTATAATTTGGGCTGAATGAACAACTACTATTTTATAGTGAGCTGTGATCCTATCTTGATCATGTATTTTAAAACTTTATTATTTTAATATTAAGTATTAAACACTTAATACTTTATATACTTTCCATAACTAAATTTCAAAATCTAAAATTAAGTCTTTTGACCCACACTAAGTTGGACATAACAAATAAAACCCCCTGGTAGCCCAATAGCGGCATATTTGGCTTATTTGGTGTATTAAAATTATACAGAAAGCATTGTCATATAAGAAATGGTGTTTAACTTTCTTTGAGTTGTGCTTATATAAGTGTTATTAATATGTATTCCAAAATTATATGAGATTCCTAAACTTCTGATATGTCTTGGTATATATTGTTAGTCATAATTATGACTATTAAGTTTACTATTGTAAGGCACAGAAAAAAGCAAATTTTCTTATCAATTGTGCCTTTAGACATGAATTATTCAAGCATAATTGTTAATAATGGATGAATTAAAGGAGCTGGGTGCAGTGGCTCACACCTGTAATCCTGACACTTTGGGAGGCCAAGGTGAGAGAATTGCCTACGCCAGGAGTTTGAGGCTGGCCTGAGCAACTTGGCAAGACCTCGTCTCTACAATTAAAAAAAAAAAATTAGCCGGTGTGGTGGTACACACCTGTAATTCCAGCTACTTGGAAATCTGAGGTGGAAGGCTTGCCTGAGGCCAGCAGGTCCAGGTTGCAGTGGCACTGCTCTCCAGTTTTCCAGCTTGGGCAACAGAATGAGACTCCGACTCAAAAAAAAGGCCAGACACGGTGACTCACACCTGCAATCCCAGTACTTTGGGAGGTGAAGGTGAGGGGACTACCTGAGTTCAGGAGTTCGAAACCAGCCTGGGCAACATACCAAGACTTTGTCTCTACAATAAGTTTTTAAAAATTGGCCAGGAGTGGTGGTGTGTGCCTGTAGTTCCAGCTACTTGGAAGGCAGAGGCAGAAGGATCACCTGAGCCCAGCAGGTCAAGGCTGCAGTGGTTGTGAACGTGCCATGGCACTCCAGCCTGGGTGACGGAATGAGACGCTGAGTCAAAAAAAAAAAAAAGAAAGAATGTAAATGGAATAAAAGTTTATAAATCAACTTTTCAAAGTTTGAAAATCTTTTCAAAGTCATGTTATATTAAGAAACAGATAATCATAGTGTTTTGTCTAAAACAGCAACTCAAAGTACTGCCAACAAGGAAAAAAACCTAAGTCTTTTGTCATGGACAATCATTGTTTTACTTTGATTCTTCTCAAAAAGTGGCTTATAATCAGCTAACAGTCTAAAAGTTGCATCTTCTTCAAGGAAATTCACAGGAAAAGACCCTGCCAAGTACTCTTGAGTACAAGTTTCTGATAACTTTAGAGATTATGTCTTTGGACTAGGTAAAAACTTCTAAAATGCTAACAAAAAAACTGATGTGTTCATGAAAATTGCTAAGCCAATATAAAACAGAACAAGAATTAATTACATTGGACTAACCTGATAGAGGATTAAAATGATTTTTTGTGACTTTTTTGTTTGAAACATTGCTGACTCCTTTATATTTTATTTTCCAGAGTCAAGAAAATTTTCTTCTTTTGAGTTATTTATAAATTACAGCAATTGAATAAAGTATACTTTTGTGAGCAAAATTAAAACATATATACCTTGCCGGGCTCGGTGGCTCAGCCTGTAATCCCGCACCTTTGGGAGGCTGAGGTGAGTGGATTGCCTGAGCCCGCGGGTTCAAGACCCGCCTGGGCAGCGAGACCTCATCTCTACAATAAATCAAAAAATCAGCTGGGCGTGGTAGCGCATGCCAGTAATTCTGGCTACTTGGAAGGTTGAGGCGGAAGGATCGCCGGAGCCCAGCAGGTCGAGGCTACGGTGGCCGGGAGCAGCCACTGCATTCCAGTCAGGGCAACAGAGTGAGACTTCAACTCAAAAAACAAATTTTATATATATATAAAAATATATATATATAAAAATATATATATTAAAAATACACACACACACACACACACACACATATATATATATACACCTTTTTCTCTATCTGATTCCTCCAAAACTTGGAAACTATTCATATTCTTATTTTATGGCAATAGAGTTATTTTCATACATTCAATAAGAATAAGTTTTCTTTCAGGGACAACTAGATCAGGAGGAAGAAATAACATATTTTTGTTTTGTAGCAGGACACATTAGAGACACTGGTAGTTTCACCAAGATTTTGATTGGAATGGCATATTTTCAGACATGACCAGACTGTTTTGAAGAATTGAGGTTGAGTTTATAGAGCTGCAAAAAAGCCCCTTGGAAAGACTGACCTAGTACTATACATGGTTCCCTTACAAGGTTCCTGATCTTGCAATAAATAAAGAATGTCACTTTCAGATAGATCCAGGAATCTCAAGATAGTCTGGGACCATGAAAAGAAAGGAATGCACCCAATTTGTACAGGTATTAGAGACGGCCTGAGGGTACATCCTTGGCTTGGCCTTCTAGCCCTGAAGGCTTTTAAAAATCTATTTCAGATTCCTTATGAAAGTTCCGGCAAAGCCAAATTAAGAGAGCCCAAATGACCATCCACTATTCTTGTTGACCTTTATGCAAATAATCAGGCCAAGTATAATATAAACACTCATTTTGCAAGTAAATTGATCCTACCATGATTTTTCTTTGATGGAAATTTAAAAAAAGAGAAAGAAGAATTATTTTTTCAGAAGAAAACTATAGCACACCTCTTATTACATTCCAGCCCTGACCGTTATTCTGAGTTTGTATTATTTTCCTACAGCTTGGACTAAATCCTGAATTATATCCTGGCTATAAGTCTCTAAAGAAGGACTGGATTTTAATTTTTTTCATAATGTTTTTAGTTGATTCCCCCACTGGAATAGGTTTTTGTTGTTCTGGCATACACATTCTCTTTTTTATTATAATTCTTTTATGCATTATATTTCTATTACGTATCTCTCGTTTTTTTACTTCTCCCATGAAAACCAAACTCATGGTATTCTGAAGACTAGAGATGATTCAACAGCTGACAGTAGCTATATTCAGTGACTCATTGAGTGAGGTTTCATTTTTGTCACACTGTGACGTCAACCCAATTCGGTTTTTGGCACTCTTAGTCACTGAGACGCATACTCTAGCCCTCCCCCACCACCCTCATTCCCCACCTCCACCCTCCACCCCAAGGGAAAGGTCCATCCAAGAATGAGCCCTCCTAGCAATGCAGGACTAAACTCCTGAACATAAAAGGAGCCAAAAACATTAGATGAACTCTCTAGAATGCTTTCTTCAAAATATCTTGATGAAAAGGGGGAAAATGAAAATAGCTCAGAGCAGTCTCAGCTATGTAAGGTATGCAAAATTTAGCAGGCCCAGAGAGACAGGAGTACGGGATTTCAGTCAGGTAACCCCCATGCCCATGAGTGGGGCAACTGTTCAAAGGTATGTTGTTCCTGATAAGCTGCCTTCTTATTCCTGGAATTTATGACATGAAGAACAATGTATTGCCAATCATCCCATTACCCTATATCCTAAAGTTTGCTCTCCAACCTGACTCTAGCATAACAGAATACATACAGAAGATTTATGGCCCTCCAAAGCCATCTCTTATGGATTCTCAGACTCCAGGAAGTCTTGTAAGACATTTACCTATCCTCCCTGAAGATCTGCCACATACAGGTCTTTATCTACATATCAACACACCTGGAATTTTCCACCCCCTTATCTTAACAAAGCATCTTCTCTACTGATGTCCCAAATCCTTAGATAGGAACTGCAAATTACCAGTCAAGAAAGCTTTGAATCCACCTATAGCCTGCAAATCGCCTATGGCCTGCAAATCCCTGCTAAGAAACCATAGTACACAAGTTGGGTGCAAAAGTTCCCACTCAGCCACGGTGGTGACCAGCTCCAGGGTCCCTCCTCCTTGGCCCCCCACTTACCTTTGTGTTTATAAAAGAAGCTGCTTTTATTGAAACTGGGTAATTTATAAGGAAAAGGGATCTCTTACAATTGTGGAGCCGAGGAGCCCAAGGTTAAGGGGCTGCAACTGGTGAGGGCCTTCTTGCTGGTAGGGACTCTCTGCAGAATCTCAAGGTAGCACAGGGCATCAACATGGCAAGGGGGCTGAGCACGCTAAGGGGCTCAGGGCTCTCATCTTATGAAGTCACCAGTTCTACTCCCATGACAACCCATATATCCATTCATCTGATCATCTCTTAAAGGTACCAATTTTCATTGCTGCCATCATGTTGGGGATTAAGTTTCTGACACATGAAATTTGAGTGACACATCCAAACCATAGCACAGGAGTTGGGTGTAAAAGTGCCCACTCAGCCATTGTGGTGACTCGTTCCTGGACCCCTCTTCCTCGGAGATCCTTTTCTTACCTTTGTGTTTATAAAAGAAGCTGCTAACCAAAGCCAAAATGGACAGTGTGATGAGGTCTCCCAGGCTGGCTGCAATAGGTGTGGCAATGTTGTCCGGGTTGACCCCGAGTTTTCGAGCGCCCATCACTATACAGACCATTAGCATCCCTGGAGAGGAAGAGATGAGAGAAGAGACTCAAATCCCTGAGAAGACTCAGCAGCACAGGGAGGATGTCACTGAGACAGGAATGGCAGGTGACAGGGAGGCCACTCATTAACTTGTCTCCATCCACATGAGCTTAGATGTAGAGCGAGGCTGTGGCAGGATGCAGCAAATGGTCAAATATATGTCTTGTATGATTGAGTGAATAAACACAGAAACACGTAGCTGGTTCAGGATCAGCAGTTGGCTTCATGGCAATCACTAACCCAGGGCAGGAAAGGAGTTGATAGCAGTTAAAGGTATTTCCTTTTGAAAGGCAAGTTGCAACTTTAAAGGCCCGCCCAGAGCCAGGCAGGTTTTGTTTAAGAAAGGCCAAATGGCCCAGAGACTGGCTATTTCATGGAAACGGAAAAGAGTCTTATCTAAAACCCTCCTTCTGAAGTTGACAGTTTACAAGCCTGCAGTTCCTGGAAACCATTTGTTCTTTGAAAATTCTGATTTTGCTGAGTACAACCTTGTAAAATTCCAAAGGAAATATGTAATCACTCAACAAGACCCCCTCCCTTACCTAAACGAGGGTATAAGACCCCACATCTCCTGTTCTGGGGTGCTTGAGTTTGATTTGAATGCATGAAATTCTCGGTCCGCTGTGCTAGCCAGCGTAATAAAGGGCCACTTCCTATAATAGTCTCGGTGTCACGATCTCTCTATTTTTCCTGCTACAAGGCCTCCCCAACTTTCAGAGCTTTTCCCACTACACTGGAGGCCTGAGAAGACTGGGAGCACAGACTCCACTTTGCATCCTATGGACGTGATGCCAAGGAGGAACCCACTGAGAGACTCAAAGGACTTAAAAGAATTATACTTGCTATGAAAGAAACTTTTACTGTATTTTATAAATCCCTACCTCAAACCCCGTAAGACTAGGGATATGTAAGGCACCTAACTGTGACTGTAAAGTTACGAAGTGTTTGCAGTGTTTGTACTTAGAACTTTGTTAAGTTTAGTTTTTGTTTGTCCCATAATAACCATGTTAATTGAAATAACCGGCTTCTTCTACTGGCAGTGTGTGAATGTTAAGCAAAAAGCCCCTCC